AAACATCAATGATGAGAGAGAAGCATTGATTGGCTGCCTTCTGCACGCCCCTTACTGGGGATGGAACTGGCAACCCCAGGCATGTGCCCTTGGCCGGAATCGAACCTGGGACCGTTCAGTCCAGGTAAAAGCTACAATGTATATCTTTAATTAATCACAGTCTGCTTTAATTAAATTGCATAATTTCACATATAAAAACACAACAGTTTAACTCTCAATTCTTCCTTCTTATCTTTGTACTATTGTTGTCATATATTTTGCTTTTACATGTAAGTCCACAGTACATTACTACTATTTTTGCTTTAGGTGGCTAATTATATTCTAAAGCAAAAAACCAACAAAAAGTACTTTAGCCGAAGCCAGTTTGGCTCAATGGTAGAGCGTTGGTCTGCGGACTGAAAGGTCCCAGGTTCGATTCCAGTCAAGGGCATGTACCTTGGTTGCGGGGACATCCCTGGTACGGGGTGTGCAAGAGGCAGCTGGTTGATGTTTCTCTCTCGTCGACGTTTCTAACTCTCTATTTCTCTCCCTTTCTCTCTGTTAAAAATCAATAAAATAGATTAAAAAAAAAAGTACTTTAAAATATTTACCTCAGCCCTAGTGGGTTTGGCTCAGTGGATAGAGCATCGGCCTGCAGACTGGAAAGTCTCAGGTTCGATTCTGGTCTAGGGCATGTACCTTGGTTGCGGGCACATCCCCAGTGGGAGGTGTGCAGGAGGCAGCTGATCGATGTTTCTCATCAATGTTTCTAGCTATCTGTCTCTCTCTCTTCCTCTCTGTAAAAAATCAATAAAATAAATTAAATAAAATATATTTTAAACAATATATTTATGTCAGACCAATTGATATTTGCTTATATTATTTTTCACATAATCATAGTATTTTATTTTATTATTATTATTTTTAATATGTTTATTTTTTTTAATTTTTTAAATTGATTTTCCACAGAAAGGAAGGTAGAGGGATAGAGAGCTAGAAATGCCGATGAGAGAGAAACATCGACCAGTTTCCTCCTGCACACCCCCTACTGGGGATGTGCCCACAACCAAGGTACATTCCCTTGACCGGCATCGAACCCGGGACCTTTCAGTCCACAGACCAACGCTCTGAGCCAAACCGGTTTCAGCATAATCATAGTTATTTTAATTTCCCTGTAGATAATTTCTATATCTGGGTCATCTCTAAGTCTTATCCTGTTGATTACTTTGCCTCTCGATAGTGAGTTGTTTTTGTTGTTTTATTTTGTGCGATGCTTGTAGTTTGTTATTGATTGCCAGATGTAGGTGCATAGCATTCATTCTGGAAAGTAAGTACCCTCTTCTTTTACTTGGCGGTTAGTGTAGAAATTTGAGTTGGTTAGAAGGTGAGTTGTGTTTGGGTTTTGTTGTTGCTGTGGTTTCCTTTTGTGCACCGAAAGTGAAGGCGTAGGGTCAGGTTTGCTAGAGGGAGGGTTTTTTCCCCCCTGTATTTATGCTCCACTTTTAGCTTTAAGCCTTTCTGCCCCTGTGCCCAAGGCTCCACCTCCCACAGTAGCCTTGCTGCTGGGTACTTGCTACAGTTGTTTTGGTTCAGCCTGGTCTTAGGCCCTGATTCCCTGGCTCAGGGTGTGGATGGATCTTTCTGGGTGACTCTACTCCACCCCCAGAGGTAGGATACCTCTAAGGCTCTACCTCTGGATCTGAATTTTCTACCTCAGCTATTTTGGTAGTGACAGTGTGCTGCCTTTTCCCCAGGTGTTTAGTATTTTTATCTTTATTGACTTTTTTTTTTTTTTTTTTTTTTTTACAGAGAGGAAAGGAGAGAGAAACATCATCAGTTGGCTGCCTCCTGCATGTCCCCTACCGGGGATCTAGCCCACAATCCAGGCATGTGCCCTGACCGGGAATTGAACTGGTGACCTCTTGTTTCATGGGTTGATCCTCGACCATGAGCCACACCAGCTGGGCAATATTTTCCTTCTTTAGAGAATGGACCAGGCAGACCTTTGTATCCTTCACAGAGTAGTGGCTGCTTTCTTCAGAGTAGTACTGCTGCGTGGCTTCCTCTGGTCTCCTGTCTAGTATTTCTTTCTTTAAAAAAAAAAAAAAATATATATATATATATATCTATATATATATCTATATATATATATATTATTGATTTTTTACAGAGAGGAAAGGAGAGGGATAGAGAGCTAGAAACATCGATGAGAGAGAAACATCGACCAGCTGCCTCTTGTACATCCTCTACCGGGGATGTGCCCGCAACCAATGTACATGCCCTTGACCGGAATCGAACCCGGGACCCTTCAGTCCGCAGACCGATGCTCTATCCACTGAGCCAAACAGGTTTTGGCCTGTCTAGTATTTCTCATGAGCCTCCATTGAGGTCTGTGGAGAAAAACCTCAGTTATAACCTTCCTATAGAATAAGAACATAGTATGCAAATTGTCTCCTGACAGAGTTCCTCTGGGAGTTGGGCCAGGGGGCGGGCCGGCTGGGGAAGGGAGGGAGGTCCTGGAGGCAGAGGCAGTGGCAGGTGACCTGTGAAGGGAGGAAGGCTCGGCTGCCCAGCAGCAGCTGCTAGGACCCCTACTCTACTTGTAATCTAATAAGTTTTCCTGAATTCTGTGAGCTGCTCTAGCAAATTAATTGAACTCAAAGAGAGGGTAGTAGGAACCCCCAACTTACAGCCAGTCAGTCAAAAGCACCGGTAACCACCTGGACTTGTGATTGGTATCCGAAGTGGTAAGTGGGGGCAGGTCAGTGGGACCGAGCCCTAACCTGTGGAACCTGATATTATCTTGGGGTAGTTTAGCGTCAGAATTGACTTAGATTGTAGGACAGGAGTGGGCGTTGGGGAATTGCTTGATGTGTAGCAAACCCACACAGAGGTCCAAATAGAACACCCTGTGGGGTCTGACGGGACAGGAGGAGGCTGGCGTGGTCCCTGGGGCCAGTTCTGCTCCTGTGTCAGAACAAGCAGCCCGGGTCTCTCTGGCCTAGACCGTGAGAATATAGGCTCCTCGGCTATTTCCTTGTTTTGTTTTCCTGCCTGGCCTCACCTGGCAGACACGTGCAAACAAATGAGTTCCCACGTGCCGGCATAGGGAAAGCTGCGGGCGTGGCGCCAGGAGTGAAAGTGGTGCCTCTTCCAGCCAGGCCCTGTCCGAGGTAGCCTGGCTTACTTCTCTGGGAGTGGCGGAGGGTTTACTTATGACCCAAAGGAGTTTGTTGTTTTTTTCTTTTTTTAAAAAGACACATATTTTTATTGATTTCAGAGAGGAAGAGAGAGACAGAGACAGAAACATCAATGATGAGAGAGAAGCATTGACCAGCTGCCTCTTGCACGCCCCACACCGGGAATCCAGCCCACGACCCAGGCATGTGCCCTGACCAGGAAGCAAACTGTGACCTCCTTGTTCATAGATCGATGCTCAACCACTGAGCCACAGGAGCTTTTTTCCCCACTCGGGCTCAGGTCTGTAGTCTGAAAGGGGCCTGGAATAGGCAGGGCAGGAGTTTGGGGTGAGGCTGTGGCGAGTGGAGTTTTGTCTGAGAACTGCTCCCTCTCGAAGGCCCTGATTCCCTGGCGCTGAGCGCCGTGAGGCCAGGCTCTGGCACATCCATTTTGTGCAGCAGATCCGAGGCTTCCCGGAAGGGGACGTAGTGATTCATTCATGCTTGGTTTGAGATTCCGTTCTTTTCCATGGGAGGATCTCCATGCCGCTGAAGGACTGATTCCTGGGTGGGATTACAGGGCCGATTCCTTTCTCCCGAAGGTGAGTCAGGAGTAGGGCATCTGAACTCTTGACTCCAGGGCACAGGAAGTGAGGGAGGGAGAAGAAGGCCGTGCTGAGTGGAGGGTCAAGAAGGTGTCATCTTCCTCTGACAGATTCTGGGTCCTTCGTAGGTAGGCTGGTGTAGAATCCAGCTTCCTTGCGGTTTCTGGACTGGCCCAACTCTAATCCAAAGGTGGTATTGTGCGTGCATGTGTGTTCGTGCATGTGAGTGTGTGTGTGTGTGAGTGTGTGTGTGTATGTGTATGTGTGTTCCATCTCCCTTTAGGATGCCTTCCAAAACCAGATCGGGGGATAAGAGGAACCTTACAGCTTTGATTGGGTGTGGAAACTTCTGGATCCCATTCTGGGAGAATCTCTTTGCGACTCAGGTGGCAGTGAGGGGCGTGCTGAGGAGAAAAGCAGATAAGCCTGTAGCAGATGAGCTCCACTTAAAATTCCCCTCTGAATATTCTTTCTCCACCTGGCCTTATTATGCTATCCCTCTCTGGGCACTCCGGAGAGAATTGGGCACAGAGCAATGGAGGAAGTAAGGTGGGTATTTTGGAAAGAGCAACATATGGGGGTGTATCTTCATGAGGGTCTTCCCCTTGGTCCCGTCTCTGCGATAGTGATGTGCCCTTGTCTTAGCATCCTCCTGGCCCTTCCCGCCACAGGCTCACGCTCTCTGCTAGTCTGACAGCAGCTGCAGACTTCCCCACAGGTGGCTGGATGCTGCAGAAGTCAGTCACTCTGGGGTGGAGGTGAGCAGGCAGGATTCCCTGGGGATGGACAGCGAGAAGCCGCTCAGGCTGGCTAGGGCTGTGTGTGAACCTGGTGCCGGGACCCTGGTCTTCTCTGCAGGGCAGGTTTGCAGGCTTCAAGCTGAAACACACCGTCTCAGGAGAACCTGTGCTCTTGCTAAACCGAATGCCAGCCTGGCCTGGGCGTCCAGCCAGGCACCTCATGTTGGCAGTCGCCTCCGTATCTTTGCCTGATCTCTTCCGGTATCTTTCTTGGGAGCGGTCTCCACGCATTGCCCGGAGTCCCGTGGTGGAAACACACAGGCTCATTGACTTTGGGCCTGTGTTTGAGGCGCGCTGTTCCCGCATCAGAGGTGGGCAGGGAAAGCTGCCTGCCTTGCGGGGTCTAAAGGAGCAGCTCCCCAGGCCCTGCCTTGCACTGACACGCTCGTGTTCCCTGCCAGGCTGTCGTCCGCACGGGCGCGAGGGAGCCGCTGGCCATGGAATCCAGGGAGAGCACGGCGTCCACCTACCAGTTCATGGCCGAGGCCAACCGGTCCCGGGAGGAAGAGGAGAGCGTAGCGCCCCGGGTGGCCACGGAGAGCATGCAGCTGAAGCAGGAGATCTCGCTGCTGAACGGGGTCAGCCTGGTGGTGGGCAACATGATCGGCTCGGGGATCTTTGTCTCGCCCAAGGGCGTGCTGGTGCACACGGCCTCCTACGGGCTGTCGCTGGTGGTCTGGGCCATCGGCGGGCTCTTCTCGGTGGTGGGCGCCCTCTGCTATGCGGAGCTGGGGACCACCATCACCAAGTCCGGGGCCAGCTACGCTTACATCCTGGAGGCCTTTGGCGGCTTCATTGCCTTCATCCGCCTGTGGGCCTCCCTGCTCATCGTGGAGCCCACTAGCCAGGCCATCATCGCCATCACCTTTGCCAACTACATCATCCAGCCCTCCTTCCCCACCTGCGACCCCCCTTACCTGGCCTGCCGTCTGCTCGCTGCTGCTTGCATATGTAAGTCTGCGGGCTCCGGGGGAGTGTTGGGGGGTGGGGGTTGGTGGTTTGTTGAATAATGCTAATGGCACCTTATGTACTGAACAGCCTGTTTTGCTCATTGGGAGGAAAAGAGGTATTATATCTCTTCAAGAAGTAATTTCTTTTTTGGAAAAAAAAAAAATATTTAGCCAAAACCGGTTTGGCTCAGTGGATAGAGCGTCAGCCTGTGGACTGAAAGGTCCCAGGTTCGGTTCCAGTCGGGGGCATGTACCTTGGTTGCGGGCACATCCCCAGTGGGGGGTATACAAGAGGCAACTGATCAATGATTCTCCTTCATCGATGTTTCTCTCTATTCCTCTCTCTGTAAAAAATCAATAAAATATATTTAAAAAATATATATATATATAATATATTTTTATTGATTTCAGAGAGGAAGGGAGAGGGAGAGGGAGAGAGATAGAAACATCAATGATGAGAGAGAATGCATTGATCAGGCCCCCTCCCCCCGCCCCGCACCCCTGCGAGTCCACAACCTTGGGCATGTGCCCGGACCAGGAATCGGACCGTGACCTTCTGGTTCACAGGACAGTGTTCAACTACTGAGCCATGCCGGCCGGGCTCAAGAAGTGATTTCACCGAAGTCATGTGTTCCTGAGATGAGGGTGAAGAACGAATGGGATGGGAGAAGTTTACGTTTGTTTATGTGAGGCAGTTAGAGCCTCACATTCCTTCCACGCTGGGCTGTCCCTGAGTCCTGTTCCCCCGGCTGGGACAGGCTGGCGCACGTCTTACTGGAGTTATTTGTCTTGTAGGTGTTTTGATTGGAATCGATATCACTAGTTAGAACTTCACCCAGAAAAAAAACATAAGTATGAGGCCTTGATTATGCTGCTAAAAAAAAAAAAAAAAATGTTATTTTGTTTCCCAGCTTTTTATCTTAAGGTAAGCCAGTTTCAAGGCGTCCGTGAGGAAATGGGCTTCTCTAGTTGTGGTCCTCTCCCCAGGAGCTCAGGCCCCTTCTTCCTGCCACCGTCACGGCCAGGTACCACACCAAATGGCTTTTCCACCCCTTTGGTGTTTCAGATTTCTTTTCTTTTTCTTTTCTTTTCTTTTTTTTTTTTTAAGAAATGATGTCTTTGCCAGGACCGGTTTGGCTCAGTGGATAGAGCATCGGCCTGCGGACTAAAAGGTCCCGGGTTCGATTCCGGTCAAAGGCATGTACCTTGCTTGCGGGCACATCCCCTGTGGGGGGTGTGTAAGAGACGGCTGGTCGATGTTTCTCTCTCATCGACGTTTCTAACTCTCTGTCCCTCTCAATTCCTCTCTGTGTAAAATCAATAGAATATATTAAAAAAAAGAAAAGATGTCTTTTTAAAAATTTTTATATTTTATTGATTTTTTTTACAGAGAGGAAGAGAGAGAGATAGTTAGAAACATCGATCAGCTGCCTCTTTCACACCCCTCCTGGGGATGTGCCCACAACCAATGTACATGCCCTTGACTGGAATCGAACCCGGGACCTTTCAGTCCGCAGGCAGACACTCTATCCACTAAGCCAAACCAGTCTCTGCTATTTTAGGTTTCTTTGCCCTGACTTTGTAAACAAGTCCTGCCTGGGGTCAGTGAGAGACAGGTGGGTGGCTTCTAACCCTGCATTTGGTGTTTTGAGGGCAGAACCTAAGAGATCCCAGTGGATCCCTCTTTATTTTCATTTTCCCCTCCGAGGCGGTAAGGAGGGATTCTGTGTGAAGTCACGGGAAGGGGAAGAGATTGCTGTGAATTTCCCCGGTCCTGTAGAGTTTGTGTTTTATTTAGCTGCGGAGCGGCCCAGGATTCCCTGTGTTCCTTAGCATTGTGCTGCCAGAGACACTTGATTCTCCTGTGTTCTTTCCATATCTCTGCTGGCAAAAGTCTTGGCAGTATATGTAATTTATCCTCAGGGTTAAAAATAGACCGGGCTCGCCGGAGTATGAAGGTCTGTACCGTACACTGTGCCTCCTCGCTTTAAGGCATTTGTTACAGACAAATGTTAAAGGAACCCCTCCACAGATGCCCCAGGGAGGAGGGGGGGTGGGAACTCAGTTATATATCTGATAGGATTGGGCCAGCGGGACTCTGGCCTGACTGAGCTCTCTAAAAAAGGGAATGGTTTTCTGATTATAAAACATATTCATCAAGGAGAAAATTAACTGAGCCTCAAATCACACTTAATCTACCACCAAATGTTGAGAACTTTTTTTTTCCTGTTTGTTAATCCTCACCTGAGGATATTTTTTTTCTATTGACTTTTAAAAAATTATTATTATTTTAAAATCTTTATTTAAAAAAATATTTTATTGAGTTTTTGCAGAGAGGAAGAGAGAGGGATAGAAAAAAAAAAAAAAAAGAGAGAGAAAGAGGGATAGAAAGCTAGAAGCATCCATCAGCTGTCTCCTGCACAACTCCCACTGGGTATGTGCCCACAACCAAGGTACTTGCCCCCGACCGGAATTGAACCTGGGACCTTTCAGTCCGCAGGCCGGCACTCTATCCACTGAGCCTAACCGGTTTCAGCTCTATTGATTTTAGAGAGAGAGGCAGGGGAGGGGGAGAGACAGAGAGAAACATCGGTTGTCTCCCGCACAAACCTGGCTGGGGATCGAACCTGCAACCCAGGTATGTGTCCTTGACTGGGAATCGAACCAGAGACCCTTTGTTCCACAGGGCAACACTCTAACCACTGGGCAACACCAGCTAGGGCGGTAGTTCTTGAGGTCCAAAGGACCCCTCTCTGGCCAGGTGCCCAGCATTGTAAGTCTAGGTGCCCAGACTTTGGGTTGACTGCAGAAGTGTATGGTTCTGGCTTAAGTTACTGTCAGTATGTTTATCTCCGTGGGATCCTTCTTTTTATGCAGCCTCACACACATCATTGGTGAGTATCTGCTGTGAGGGTTTCAATAAGGAAGTCCGTTCACCACTCACCTAGAGGCATCAAAGCAGAGGCCTCCTCACAGTTGAGACTCCATTGCCCCTGAGGGTTTGTTTGTCAAAGCCGACCATGAGGAGGAGGGAGAGGGGGAGGAGGGGAGGAGGAGGAGGGTATGGAACGGTTCCTTCCCCTCCCTGGGGCCTGTGGGAAGAGGGAGCTGTGAGTGTCCGCAGAACCGGGACTACAGCTGCAGGTTGCCAGGCCAGTTCCTCGTCAGAGAACATGAGCGGCGTGGGTCTGTCTGAGGACACATGCATTATTCAGGATTAGTTTGTGTTTCAGACGCTGAAAACCCAAAGCAGCATGGCTCATGCACACTGAAGTTTATTTCTCCCACACTCGAGCAGCAGACAGTGGGGGGCTTGCAGGATTTTGTAACCTTCAGGGAGCCGGGTTGCTTCCCTCTGCCTTCCAGGCCTGCCGGTCCAGGCTGGCTACTCAGGCTCAAGCTGTCGTGCCTGCATCGTGGCTGACAGGAAGAAAGGCATGCCTCACCCTTTAAAGAGATTCCCTGAGGCCTTACCCATATTGCCAATGTATGAACACATTCAAACGTGTGAAGAATTTTTGTGAGTTTATTTGAGCCAAACTGTCGACCACAGCTGGGAAGCAGAATCTCAACGTATTGGGATAATGCTCCAGAGAATGGCAGTTTTCACCTTGTTCTATACATTACATTCAAAGGAGGAGGTGTAAGTGAGTTACATGAAATCCATTGGTGATAGGTTAGGGAGGTGGGAGAAAGCAAAGCAGGGAAACTCTGGAATTGGGTAAAAATTAAATTGCTAGACACATATTTTTATTTTTTTATAACATTCTTTTTCTTTTTAAAAAAAATATTTTTATTGATTTCAGAGAGGAAGGGAGAGGGATAGAAATATCAATGATGGCCAAAACTGGTTTGGCTCAATGGATAGAGCGTCGGCCTGCAGACTGAAAGGTCCCAGGTTCAATTCCTGTCAAAGGCATGTACCTTGGTTGCGGGCACATCCCCAGTGGGGGGTGTGCAAGAGGCAGCTGATCAACGATTCTCTCTCATCGATGTTTCTAACTCCATCCCTCTCTCTTCCTCTCTGTAAAAAAATCAATAAAATATATTTTAAAAAAAGAAAGAAATATCAATGATGAGAGAGAATCGGCTGCCTCCTGCATGTCCCCTCCTTCAGCCCACAACCCAGGCATGTGCCCTGATCAGGAATTGAACCCTGACCTCCTGGTTCATAGGTTGATGCTCAACCACTGAGTCACACTAGCTGGGCTGTACACACACACTTCTTTTACATAGGTACAGGATAGTTAACAGTCAACAATTAATAAAATTAATAACAATTAACAACAGTTAACAGCTAACAAGGAGGGAATTTGTGGTCTCTACCCTGGTGCCCTGACACATTGGTTGTGCCTTGAGAGGTCTGGAAAAACGGAAGTTACAAGGTACCCTGACATTCCACAGGTGTGTTATCTGAGATGCAAAAGATACTGGCCTTGGACATGACTACTCACTAATTAAACTGCTTTTTAATTAGAGGTTTTAATTGCTTTTTTTAAAAAAAATACTTTTTAAAAAATTTTTTCTTTTTTAAAATATATATTTTTATTGATTTTTTTACAGAGAGGAAGGGAGAGAGATAGAAACATCGATGAGAGAGAGTCATCGATCAGCTGCCTCTTGCACACCCCCTACTGGGAATGTGCCCGCAACCAAGGTACGTGCTGTTGACCAGAATGGAACCTTGGACCCTTCAGTCTGTAGGCCGACTCTCTATCCACTGAGCCAAACCAGTTTCGGCAATTTTTTTTTTTAATTTCTTTATTGATTAAGCTATCACATATTTGTCCTCAACCCTCCATTCTAATCCCCCCCCCCACTCTTGCCCCCACCTGTCTATTGTCCTTGACCACTGTTTAGGCTCATATGTGTGTACACAAGTCCTTTGGTTGATTTCTCCCTTGTATCCCCACCCTCCCTCTGAGGTCCAGCAGTCTGACCCATGGCTCCTTATCTCTGGGTCTGTTCTTGTTCATCAGTCTATGTTGTTCACCCTTTTCCCCAGATGAGTGAGATCATGTCCTACTGGAAGTATACTTATAAGAATCAAAAATGAGACAAGCAATCATCGTTATGCTGAAAGACATATGAATCAGTCTGTAGTGAGCTTCTTTCTGGGCCACCGGTTCTTTGGAGACCCAATTTCAATATCAAACAGTTCCTTATGTGTGCATGTCAGCCATGATATTTCAGGTCTGGATGGTGGGCAAATGGTGGTTCGGCTCTTTCTTAATCAGAATCAGGAAAACATTCAGAGGCCTCGACTGCTGCCTGGCAGACAGTTCCCAGCCGGGCTGAGCACTGGGGGAAGCAGGCACGGCGCCGGGGCCAATGTTTGAGGACGGTGTGCCCGGGGCCCTCTGCCAGGGAGGCCTCCCTAGCTGTGGTGTCCCAGGTGCCTTACCCCATCCTATTCCAGATCCTGCTCCCTGGCTGGCTGCGTGTTGTTGGTTAAGTATTTTTATTTTTATTGAGAAAGAAGCACCTGTGCATGGTAAATAAGTGTAAGTATAGAAGGGCGTACGATGGAAAAGGTCTCCCTCTCCTAGCACTAGTCTTCCTTCCCAGAGGCAGCGAGGGTGACCAGGCCCAGTGGTACCTTCCAGCCGGTCTTTCAGAAGGCGCTCTGCCTTCACTCGTTCCTTCAGCCCTGGCAGCACTGGTCGTGGTGAATCCCCGCTGTGCGCAGAGAAGCCTCAGCCACGGTGTGTGTGTGTGTGTGTGTGTGTGTGTGTGGCAGGGCGGAGGGTGGGAGAAGGAGCAGAAGTGCGAGGCAGCGCCCGTTTGTGTGGCTGAGGAGTATGTCAGCTTCTCTCCCCATCTTGCAGCCACATCTTCATGCTTCGAGCCGGGAGCAGTCACTTCCCGTGTATGTCCACCTGTCTCCCTCTTTCTGGCCCTTTCTCCCTGCCTCTGCCTCCTCGTCTTTGTCTCTTACCTCTCTCTCTGCCTTCTGTGTCAGGCTTGTACCACAAGCTGTGCACCCTCTCACTTCTTCTTTCCTCGGTCCTGCTTCCTTCCTCTGCTTTCCTGTGGTTCCTTTGTTGCAGGGTGTGTAGGTGACGGACTTGCTGCTATGCGATAGCTTCTGTCTCTGGGTGTCCGACTCCCCGTCCCTGGGGAGGATGATCCCATAGGCTCGGCCGGGGTCCCGTGTCTGGCACAAGAGAGGAGGGGGAGCCATTCCCCGAAGGGGCCCGGGAGGGAGGCAGGCGCCTCACAATGTGCTTACTGTATTGCACGAGGGCCTGTGGGTGGATTACCCGTGGCCGTTAGCTAGGTAATCCTTTGACAGCTGATCCAGGCTCAGCCCCACACACTGGTTAGCAGGGAAGCTCCCCGGGGAAGCCCTGCAGCAGCATGCCTCCCTCTGGTCTTCTCCCCTTCCCCCTGACCTTCACCCCCGCACCGCCCCCACCTCCTATGACTGTACCAGCAAGCATCTGTGCCGTTTGCCAGAGCGCGGAGTGAAAGCTCTCCGAGTGTTTTCCAGGCCGGTCAGCCACCGTGTTTCATTTCCACCGGCCGGCCCTAGCCTTCCTCTTCATGGACTGGAAGGATGTCCAAGTTCTGACACTTGCCTTGTTCCGGGGAATTCATGGGCAGTGAAGGTCATCCCGGGCTTGATTCTGAGTCACCATTTCAGTCACCATTTATTTCCCCTCTCAGTCTGGCAATAAGCGTAAGAAAACAAAATGATCTCCTCGAGAAGCACCACCCGAACGCCCCCGGGGGAGACAGACCTTCCTGAGACAGAGGCCCCGGTGACCAGCCCGAGGCGCTGGGCTGTGCTGTGAAGTGAGAATGCCGCAGGGGCTGCAGGGGAGAGAGCTGGGGAGCCGCTGGCCGCTGGCTGGTCTGTTTGGGGAAGGTTTTACCCGCTGGCGGGGCTGTTTGGTTTTGCCAAGGAAGTGGGGGTAGAGCTAGACCTTGAAAGTGCGAGCTGCTGTGGCTGTGGCAGGAGGAAAGGAGAACGTTTCTTTTTCCTGTGTATCAGGCACCAGGAAAGAGGGTCTGGCCCTGGCTGGTTTGGCTCAGTGGATAGAGTGTTGGCCTGGGGACGGAAGGGTGCCGGGTTCGATTCCAGTCAGGGGCACGTGCCGGGTTGTGGGCTTGATCCTTCTAGTGTGGGGCGTGCGGGAGGCAGCCAGTCAATGATTCTCTCTCATCATTGACATTTAAAAAAAATATATATATTTTATTGATTTTTTAGAGAGGAAAGCAGAGAGATAGAGAGCCAGAAATGTCGATGAGAGAGAAACACCAACCAGCCGCCTCCTGCACACCCCCTACCAGGGATGTGCCTGCAGCCAACGTACATGCCCTTGACCGGAATCGAACCCGGGACCTTTTAGTCCACAGACCGATGCTCTACCACTGAGCCAAACTGGTTTCGGCTTATCATTGACATTTCTATCTCTTCCTCTCAGAAATTAATGGAAACATATATTAAAGAGAAAGAGAGAGAGAGAGAGAGAGAGACAGACAGACACTGGTGAAGCAGAGTGAGAAATAGGTAGGAATAGGTAGGGGTGGTCTGGAGCCCCTGGTGTTTTGCTCTGTGCCTTCCCTGTGGATCAGAGCCGAACCTGTTTACTGGGGGTAAGGTGCCGAGACCCTCCTCCCAGGACCTGGGAATCGCTGAGGTGTGTGAGGAGCCGGAACACACAGCCACGGTGCAGACAGGAGCCCAGGGGATGCCCAGTGAGCTCACTGCTCATGGCCTCCCCTCCCCCGCGTCCCGAGAATCATGGGGACGGGGCGGTCAGCGGGGCCCGTGTTTCTTCGTGGACCCCTCAGCCTCAGTTTCCTCCTCTGTAAAATGGAAACAGGAATGTCTATATGTTGGGGTTGTGAGAATTAATGGACAGGACGTGTGTGAAATGCTCAGGCACGTGACAGATTTCTTTTTTATTTTATTTATTTTTTTCCCTTCTCTGCCCCCTACCCCCACCCCCACAACAACGCCAGGAGTCGGATTTCCAAGTCTACCTCCAGATCTCTGTTTTACACTCATACCCAAAACAGTGTAATTCCCAGGTGACCTGCCAGCTACGTGCAAAAGCACCTCGTTTATTAACGGGCCTCTTGTCTCTGCTCTCTAAGGCGGCCATGGGCAGGCCTTGTGCCTGGGTGGTTTAGGACCTTGGGAGTCTGAGTGGGCCTGGGAGAAATTTCCAGAAATGGTCTGGTTGTCAGAATTTATGCATGTGGCCCTGGCCAGTTTTTCTCAGTGGTTGGAGCGTGGGCCTGTGGACTTGAAGGGTTTCAGGTTCAATTCCCTGTCAATTCACATTGATGTTCTCTCTCTCTCTTTCTCCCCCTGCCCCTTCCCCCTCCTTCCTACCTTCCACTCTCTCTGGAAATCAATAGAAAGAATGTCTTCAAGGTGAGGATTAAAAAAACAAAACAGCCCTGACCAGTTTGGCTCAGCAGATAGAGCATCCGCCTGTGGACTGAAAGGTCCCAGGTTCGATTCCGGTCAAAGGCATGTACCTTGGTTGTGGGCACATCCCCAGTGGGAGGTGTGTAGGAGGCAGCTGATTGATGTTTCTCATTGATGTTTCTAACTCTCTCTCTCTCTCTCTCTCTCTCTCTCTCTCTCTCTCTCTGTAAAAAAAAACAACACACAACACAACACAATAAAATATATATTAAAAGACAAAAACATGCCAAAACCGGTTTGGCTCAGTGGACAGAGCGTCGGCCTGCGGACTGAAAGGTCCCAGGTTCGATTCCAGTCAAGGGCATGTACCTTGGTTGAAGGCTCATCTCCAGTAGGGGATGTGCAAGAGGCAGCTGATCGATGTTTCTCTCTCATCGACGTTTCTAACTCTCTATCCCTCTCTCTTCCTCTCTGTAAAAAATCAATAAAATATATTTAAAAAAAACCCAAAAACCAAAAAAACAAAACAATAAAGAATTGATGAGTATGTGTCATGCCTTTGTATCTTGTCAACAGTGAGGGGCTGTTCACGGGAACGCTCCGCCCAGGCCCCTGGGAGCTGGCCCTCCGTTTGCCTGTTCCGGTTCTGACTGGCCGTTGGCCTCTTTGCTTTAGGCAGATGGGGCAGAAGCCATAGACTCTGGCAAAGGAGGTGGGGCCTCTGTGCCCTCAGCTGGAGCCTTCCTGTGACCGTATGGTTTCTCTTCCAGGTCTGCTGACATTTGTGAACTGTGCCTACGTCAAATGGGGCACCCGTGTGCAGGATGCGTTCACGTACGCGAAGGTCCTGGCGCTCATTGCCATCATTGTCATGGGCCTGGTGAAACTGTGCCAGGGTAAAAGGGGTCTGCGGTGGGAAGGAGGGTGGGTGACTCCGGGAGGTCCCTGGACCCCCTTAGGAGGGCGTGGGGACTCTCTGAGCTTTGTCCATGGTAGACTGTGTCGGTGAGAGCTGGCCATCTGTTCCCGGGGCCTCTGGGGTCAGGCTGGTGTGGCCCAATGGACACGAGGCAGCCCCTCTCTCAGGGCTCTTCCTGTGAGGAGGCTAGGAGCGCTGCAAGGAGCCGGCTGAGAGCGCCTGGAACTCGGGTGGTAATTGGGTCATAAAAACGAACAGCGGGGATAGAGCGAATCCTGTTCTGGCTCCTATTACCAGGCAGCAAGTAGGAAGACTTAGCTGGAAGCATGTGTGTGTGTGTGGTGGGGAGAGGGGAGAGGGTATGAAAATGAATGATTATTTCATCTGGACTTGCTCTTATGCAGGATTCCCTCCCAAAGTCAGCTCTCAGAAAAAATATTAAAGCATTGTGAAGTTGGCACCGACTTCTCTGCAGGCTGGCTTTAAAAGCTTTTCATTCCTGGATCAGAGCACACTGGCCATGAGGGTAACAGGCCTCCCAGGGTCTCCCGAGTCTTCGGAGAAGCCCTCAGGCCCAGGCTGTCCCTTTACAACCATCTCTGAACGTGGCTGTGTCTATAACCGCCTGGAGCAATGAGGACACCCCCCCCCCCCAATCTCAGACCTAGTGGATCACACTCTGGCTGGTTTGCAGTTGAAAAAGGTCTGTTTTTAAGATGTGCCCGTGCAGTTCCTGAGCAGCTGGTCTAGCGCCTCCGCTCATGGGCCATGTTAGCACGTGCAGCCAACCCCCCGGCCGTCCCTGGAGTCCCGGGAACATCCAGCCGTCTTTGCCACAGGAGGGACGGGTCTAGGCTTCCTGAGGGGGTGGCAGCAGGCTCCCTTAGAAGCCTGGGTCTTGTTAGAACCCTGTAGCGTGTCCAGGAAGTCTCTCCCCTGGGCAGCGGGGTGCCCCATCCCGGACTTTCAATCTGTATGGTCTCCGAGGAGAACGCCAAGTGCCTAGGCTGGTGCTTCAAGGGTGGAGGTGACCCAGGTCAACCCCAGGCCCAGTGAGAAGTGAGACCCCAGTTCCTACGTTGCCTGTCATTTCCTGCCCCCTCCCCGCCCCTCGGCCATGGCAAGGAGGGCCACAGAGTTCTCTCTCCGTGAGACGGAGCAACCGCTGGGCCCAGTTGTGCCGTGGGCTGAGCACAGAGAGGTGGTTCCACAGGAAGTGTCGTTGTTAGCGAAAAATGGCTTTTTTTTTTTCATGGTAAACAGGGTGCTGTCTAAGAAGTAAGAGGAAGAGGTGTGGCCTGCTCTGCGGGCACTGCAGGAAGTGGAAATTCACCACGGCTTTGGAACAGGGGACACATCTGAGGCCCCTTCCTTAGCTGAGGCTGTCTGGTTTTAGTAAAGGAATAGGAACTTTCCCGAGAGAGGGGTGGGGTTAATTGTAGGGAGCTGGTCATTGTTTTTCTTTTTTGGTGTTAAATTATGTTGTTTTTTTTTTTCCCTTCCCCCTTGTTTTTCCCTCCTTTTCTTGACCCTCTTCCTTTCTCTTTTTTCCCATCTTCTCTTCCTGTTCCTTCCTTCTCCCCATTACTCCCTTCTTCTTACACCTTCCATCTCTCCTCCCTCTTCTCCTTCTTTCCCTTCCTCGTCCCTGAAATCCCCTCTCCCCTTCCCCTTTGCTCCCGCAGGACACTCTGAGCACTTTCAGGACGCCTTTGAGGGTTCCTCCTGGGACATGAGAAACCTCTCTCTCTCCCTCTACTCTGCCCTCTTCTCTTACTCAGGTTGGGACACCCTTAATTTTGTAACAGAAGAAATCAAAAACCCAGAAAGGTAAAGGCGGGCTCACCCTCCCACTCCCCAGCTCTCACTCCCCGGCGGCGGCAGCAGCAGCGGCTGGTGGAGGGAAGGCCTCCCTCTCCCCTCCCCTGTCCCTCTGCCTCTCATCCGGCCCCCTCCTCCTCCAGCTCAGAGGGATGAGGGGTTAGGATGGGGACGAGTGAAGGTAGGGAAGCTTGTGGCTCCTCACTCTCGTGGTCATCCTGGTAAAGATCAGGTACTTCCTAAAGGAGAGGCCCTGGACCTCGCTGGGGCTGAGGTGTTGGGGCCCTGCACCCTGACACTGACCTTGTGGCCTGGGGAGCCAGAAGTTTATTCTGACCGCTGATCCCTAGAGGACATTGGTCCTTCTCCGGTGGGACTCATGGGTCCCAGTGTGGCAAGCATCAAATACCGATCATGAGCCCATGAGAGAAAGGTTTCTCTTCCCCTTCTCTCTAGAGAGCCCAGGCACTCATGGGATACATACCCATCCTAGGACATAACGGGGAAGAGGTACCTCACGGACCCAGAGGCCAGGGAACTGTTAAATGTCAGAAAGAAAGAAAGAAAGGAAGGAAGGAAGGAAGGAAGGAAGGAAGGAAGGAAGGAAGGAAGGAAGGAAGGAAGGAAGGAAGGAAGGAAGGAAGGAAGAAAGAAAGAAAGAAAAAAAAAAATCCCCGGGATTTTTGACCCCAAGGAGAGGTTGGTTCTAGGTAGTCCTGTCTCACTTGTGCTGACAGAAATTTGCCCCTGGCCATTGGGATTTCTATGCCGATTGTGACGCTCATCTACATTCTGACCAACGTGGCCTATTACACGGTGCTGAGCATTTCAGACGTCCTTGACAGTGACGCCGTGGCCGTGGTGAGTCTCTGGGGACCCCCCGTTGCTCGTCACCCTATGACACCGAATGGTTCCATCTTTTCGCAGCCACCCCAGCTCTGCAGGCGAGGAGGTGAGGGGGTCTCGGCCGGAGGGTGGGCTGCTCAGCGGTGACCGTGTTTGTCCCGACCGCCTAGAGGCAGGGAGCTTAGGAAACCACGTCCTATGCTGAGTGGGCCTCTGTGTTCCGCCCCCAGACGTTTGCTGACCAGACATTTGGGATGTTCAGCTGGACCATCCCCATCGCTGTCGCCCTGTCCTGCTTCGGGGGCCTCAACGCGTCCATCCTTGCTTCATCAAGGTACTGTGTCCCTGCCTCTCTGTCACACACTCCGTCCGCTGTCCTCTGAGGCTTTAGGTGGGCCCGTGCGAACTCAACTCTTCCTTCCTGCCTTTCTTAGAAAGACAGGGTGTGTGTGTGTGTGTGTGTGTGTGTGTGTGTGTGTGTGTGCGCGCGCACATCAGTGTGCATGCGTCTGCCTTTGTGCAAATGTTGTGTGTGCTGGTAGCTCATGCTTTTATTTATTGAGTTGAGAGAGAAGGAAAGAAACATCCATTTGTTGTTCCATTTATTTATGCGTTCATTGGTTGATTCTTGTATGTGCCCTGACCTGGGATCAAACCCATGACCTTGGCGAATCGGGATGATGCTCTAACCAAGGGCAGATTGATAGGAGGTGGGAGAGAAGAAGGTAATAGCTATCAGGGACCAGCTTCTAGGCTCCTTGTGGGTTACGGTGCAGCCCCAGGATTCCATTCCTTCAGGGAATGATTAGCGAGTACGGGCTGTGGGCCAGGTGCTGGGACAAGGTGACTCTTCCCCTCACTTCACAGAAAACACGGAGGCCCACGGGGAGGCTCCTTCTCTCCTCTCTGTGCAGAGACTGGCCTTCCTGTTGTTTCAGAGAGAGGAGCCGTGCCGGGCTCACTCTGCTACCCGGTGTCAAGGTTGCACCCGTTCCTTCCTCGGCACTGTGGTGTATCCGCTGGCCCTTCTCTTGGTGGCTGTTCCCCCCTGGGAGCCCTCTCTGCACAGGTTTCTTTCCTTTCCACTCACAGATGTCACCAGCGAGCTCTTCCCTGCTCCCCTCTGTCTTCCTGGGCACATTTCTTGAGGGAATAGTGTGTATTTCACTGGTCATTTTTCTACCCATTACACTTTGGCTTCTAGTGCCTAAAACATGTTCTTACTAAGGGTGCCAGTGACCCCTCCTTAGCCTGCTTTCGTCACGGTCCTTATACTGAAAGCACGAAGCAAGTGATGCTGATAGCCTTTTCTTTTTTTTCTTTTTTATAATATATTTTATTGATTTTTACAGAGAGGAAGGGAGAGGGATAGAGAGTTAGAAGCATCTCTGTGGTCATCTCTTGGAAGCTTTCTGTTCCCCAGTCCACCCCTAAGCCTCGTGCGGGCTGTGTACCGCATGATGACGCTGCCTGCCCTGGGTGCTGCTCATTTCTCTGCTGCTCCGTTTCCCAGTCAGTTGGGCTCTTTATGTACAGAGAGGAAGCCTGGGTTGTCGCTTTGAGTCCAGGTTTGTTCTGGCCTACCACACGTCAAGAGCTCAGAGAAGATAATATGAGGACGCAGGTGTGGCTCAGTCGGCTGAGCGTGGTCCCATGCACCAAAAGGTTCGATTCCCGATCGGGCTTGATACCAAGTAGGAGACATGCAGGAGGCAGCCAATGGATTTCTCTTTCCTCTCTCTCCCTCCCTCCCTCTCTCTCTCTCTCCTTTCCTCTCGCTCTAAAAAATGAATAAAAACATTAAAAATAAAAGTCATTGTGTTAAGTATGACATTTATGGGATGGCAGAGTGAGGGAACCCCTGGTGGGATGGATTAGAGTGCCAGTGGGTGATGGCAGGGTGAAGCATTCATTGAGTGTCTGTGGGCGACGGTAGTCCTGGGTGACAGTGGGGTAGGGCATTTATGGATAACGGTGCGGTGCCCTGGTTGAAGAAGGTGGAGACATCTGTGGATAAAGTGGGGAGGTCGGACTGGGCGTGCATAGAGAACATGGGGTGCTCCGGAGAGACTGCTCCCTGCTTTGTTCTGGAGCTCTGAGCCTCGTTTGTTGAGTGAGGAGTGTGGCCATGTGGCTGAGTACAAAGGATCTCACTGACACATTTCTTGTGCCTCCAGGTTGTTCTTCGTGGGCTCCCGAGAGGGCCACCTCCCAGACCTTCTGTCCATGATCCACATCGAGCGTTTTACACCCATCCCTGCGTTACTGTTCAATGTAAGCTCTCCTGGGGGAGTGTGGGGACTGGGCATATCTCTGTCCTACTCCTGCTGATTTGATCCAAAACCGTTGGGTGGGCGGCATACTAACTTTCTTGAGATAGTTCTCGATCCTTTCAGTGTTTCTTCTTCTTAAAATTACTTTAAAATGTAAATGTAAAACATAGTCCTATTAGAGAAGGCAAATGCTATAAAAGAATATAAAAGTGAACTTGTAAGATTTCTCTGTTATTTTATGTCAGTGGCTTCTTCCTCTCCTTCTTCCAGCTCCTACTTTTTTTTTTTTTTTTTTAATCAATCTTTATTGTTCATATTATTACAAAGGTTCTTCATTTCTTCCCCCCTCCACCAGGTTCCCACCCCACCCTCCGCCCCATCTCCATCCCCCATTGTCCTCATCCATAGGTGCATAGTTTATGTTCAGTCTCTTCTCCCCTCCCTTTCCCCGATAGTAAATCCCTTTTCAGATAGTAAATCAGTTACTTAGCATTTTCTCATATCAATAATACCTCCACATGCCCAATGATACACTTCACACAAAAGACATTTCCCAATAGGTCCACCAGCCTCATCCAGGCCCCACCCAAGGCACTCACAGATCAACACCCCAGCCCTATACTAACTCAACACATCCAGATCTAAGCCTTCATCACTTGATTCAGCAGACCCTCAAGTTCCCGTGAAAGTTTCCAGCCATGTCTGAGAGGCAGCCGTGGGGCAGGGGCAGGTGAGGAGCGAGCTGTTCTGGGCCTGGCTGATCAGGGCCTGGCCTCTGTTGCTCTGGTTTGTTCCACAACCAGCTGTTCCGGGTCTGGTCACTGCGGCTCCCAACCTAGTTGCTCTGGACTTGGCTGCTGCTGCTCCGGGCCTGGCTGCTCCCAGCCTGGCAGCCGCTGCTTCCGGTGGCCTGGCCGCACCTGACCCGGCTGCTCTCCCGGGCCTGGCTGCTCCCAGCCTGGCAGCCGCTGCTCTGGGCCTGGCTGCACCAGCCCCGGCTGCTCCCCCAGGCCTGGCCGCTCCCAGCCTGGCAGCCGCTGCTCTGGGCCTGGCCGTACCAGCCCCGCCAGCTCCTACTTTTAACAAGAAATATTAAATCATATTTAGAGGCCTGGCCAGTGTGGCTAAGTTGGTTGGGTGTTGTCCCATGTACCGAAAGGTTGCCATTTTGATTCCCTGTCAGGGCACATGCCTGGGTTGTGGGTTTGATCCCCAGTTGGGACAACGTGCAGGAGGCAGCCAATCGATGTTTCTCTCTAGTGTCAATGTTTCTCTCTCCCCCCCTTTCTTGCTCTCTCTAAAGAAAATATTTAAAAAAAATCATATTTAGAAAAGCCAAATCAGTTAAACACCAACTACCTTAGGGACCTCTATTCATGTCATAGACATCATACATTCACATGCAGTAGATGGCAGTGAAGTGTTATATTCCAACAAAATTAGTAAATGATGGAAATATTCTGACCGGTGGAAAGTTCTGAAGAAAGACCACCACTTTCTAATTTGGACTAAGATATTAATGAATAAAAGCTAACAGGGACCCTGAGGAAAAAAAGGCCTTACTCCAAGATTTGAAAAACAGTTAATTTTTCTTGTTATTAGGTCTTAAATGGTTTGTTTAAATTTTGGATTCCTCTGGAATTTATATTTTGATGTATGGGGTAAGGTGGGGATTCACTTAATTTTTTGCTCTCAAATAGTTAGCCAGCTATGCCAATATAACTTATGGAATAATCAATTTTTCCAGTTTTTAAGTTTTTATCATATAAAAATGGTAGGAAGTTGAAAGGGCTGCAGACTCTGAAGGGAGAGGTGCCTGTGGACGTCACTCTGGCACGCCGAGGCTGGCTTCCCTGGGCCTGCGGGGAGAATGGGGATTGTAGGGGCTCTTCGGGGAGAGGTTCTGCCCTTCAGGACTGGCTTTCGCTCATCCAGTCTGGGCTTCAAGCTTTGGGGCTAGGCTGTGTCTTTTGGGTTTGGGTTCAGCTCTTTGGGTTGGGGATTGGCTCTTCGGGGATTAATAATAATAATAATAAATAGCTGTTTTTTGGGGTACTTTATATATGCCAAGTATGATATGCCCCTTCAATGTATCATTATCTCAACTAATCCTCCCCATCAGCAATAAGCTTCATTATTTAGTTTTATGTTGAATATCTGGGGGGGTAAAGAGGGTATTTTCCTCCTGGAATTTTATTTTATTTATTTTTTAAAAATATATTTTTATTGATTTTCCACAGAGAGGAAGGAAAAGGGATAGAGAGCTAGAAACGTCGATGAGAGAGAAACATCGATCAGCTCGCTGCCTCCTACACACCCCCTACTGGGGATGTGCCTGCAACCAAGGTACATGCCCCTGACCGGAATTGAACCCAGGACCCTCATCCGCAAACCAATGCTCTATCCACTGAGCCAAACCGGTTTCGGCTTTTTTTATTTTATTATTATTTTTTTAAGATCTTTTATTGATTTTTAGAGAGAAAGGAAGGGAGAGAGAGAAACATGATGCAGCAAATGAAACATTGATTGGCTGCCCCCAGTCGGGGATCAGGGATGGAGAGGCAAACCGGGCCTGTGAGCCCTGACCAGGAATGGAACTGGCAACCTTTTGGTGCACAGGATGACACCCAACCAACCGAGCCACACTGGCCAGGGTTCTGATCTGCATTTCTAAGGTGCCAGGACAAGGCATTTGTCCATTCGTATGCCAAGTAGTCAGGACCCTTGTGTAAAGACCTGGAGGGCACCTTGTGGTTCATGTTGAGGTTGGTGGGTTGAGGTGAGGAGGGCCGCACTGTCTGCCATCAGAAGGGCAAAGAGGCTGAGTGGTGGACAGGCCTCTGGCGGAAGAGGGAGAGATGCCGCCATGAAGATTAACGTGGAGAATGGGCCTTTCTGGCGACAGGGGGTCACTGGAGAGAGCCAGAGGTAATCTGGTGGAGCTAAGCCTGCAGTCAGCAGATCTGGTTGGGTCCCTGGTGGTGACCTTGCCCTCTCTGCTCCCTCCCTCCCTCCCCATGCAGTGCACAATGTCACTCATCTACCTCACCGTGGAGGATGTTTTCCTGCTCATCAACTACTTCAGCTTCAGCTACTGGTTTTTTGTGGGCCTCTCTGTTGCTGGACAGCTCTACCTTCGCTGGAAGGAGCCCGATCGGCCCCGGCCTCTCAAGGTCAGTGACTCTGGGCAGCCTAGGAGGGTGGGCCCTCTCCCAAAGGTGCCTTCTTTTCCATACCCCCCATCCCGCATTACCTGATATCTCACCCCTTTCATTTCAGCTGAGCCTGTTTTTCCCCATCGTGTTCTGCATATGCTCCTTGTTTCTGGTGATTGTGCCCCTCTTTGGTGACACCATCAATTCCTTCATTGGCATTGGGATTTCCCTCTCCGGAATCCCCGTCTACTTCCTGGGCGTTTACCTGCCAGAATCCCGGAGGCCACACTTTGTCCGGAATATCCTGGGTGAGCTGCTCTTTGCCCATTGCGCGCACGTTGTGTGCATGTGTTCACAGGTGCATGGGAGAGATGAGCGTGGTAGTTGGCTGCCTCCAAACTAGTGATGTGCCAGAGGCCATGAGACCTAACGGCCCCATGACTTTTTCCCTTTGTATCTTTAGAGACCTATTTTGGGGTTAAAACACTACCTCTTATAAGTGCAATCTAAGTGTCAAGACTCTGGTTGGGCTCAGGACTGGGGATGCTGAGGCTGGTTGGGGTGAGGGGCAAAGCTTGGCACAGGGTACCCAAGGGGGAGATGAGCAGGGAGCCACAGATGTGCTCTCAACAGCCTTGTGGTGTTCAGATCGGGGCTGTAGCTGAATGTCCGTTTACTAAGTTCTCTTCTTTTTCCATTTAGCTGCTATCACCAAAGTCACCCAGAAGATTTGCTTTTGCGTCCTGACTGAGCTAGATGTAGCTGAAGAGAAAAAGGTCGAGAGGAAAACTGACTAGAGGCCAGAGGTGAAGTCCCCTGAGGCCTGGAAGACTTTACGTGTGGCCGCAGTCACCAAAGGCCAGATGACAAGACTCATCAGGTGATCACTCTTGTGGGAACTTTTTCCCACCCAGCTCTTTTGTACTAAAGGAGCCTGTTGGCACACATTATGTAAGGGGTTTGAGGGCTGATGGCCCTCTCAGGTGATCACTCTCGTTGGTAAGCTATGGAAGACGACGGAGTGTGGGGCCAGTCTAACTGTGGGCATGGGGGAGGGCTGGGGAATGGTGGTTGAGTTTTGTTCCTGCTGGGTAGTGTAGCCCGCACAGACACTTGGTGAGTTGCACAGGGGGAAGAGGGAGTACAGGCTAGGTTAGCCGTGACTGGTGGTTTGGACCAGGAGTCTTGGTACTTGAGGTTTGGACCAGGAGTCTCTACAAAGGAGCTGCTTTAATGACAGGTTTTCCTCTGACCAGGTCCAGGCACCTGACTTTAGAGGGTGGAAATGCTACCATTTCTCTCTCTGGTTCAAAATCCTTCCCTGGGGGAAATGGTTGTACTCCATTATTTATTTATATTATTTAATCCAGAACACCCAATTCTAGATGAATTCTGGTATTCATCTACAGGATGCAATAAGTTGTTTATAAATGCAAAATACCCAAAGCTGAGTCCCTCTGTCCTCAGAGGTGTCTCTACGTGGTGGTGGGTCAGACTCTGACTGCAGATTTTTTTTTGGCTTGGTTTTAGCACAATCTTCATATTAGAGTGTTACCTGCAAAGGTGAACTTTTAAGATTTTTTTTTACTCATGTGCCGATTACACTTTAGTTTATAGACAGGTCACATTACAAGCACCTGGCTTAGGTTCAGCAAGGGCACATGAACAAATCCATGAGCCAGAAATCTGGCACTATTGTTGTTTTGAAGGATAATCCTTTATTTTCCTTAAGAGCTTATCTCTATTCTAGATGATAAAGTAAACCTCTGGGTTTCTGGTACGAACTTTAAGGTAGAAACTTCTCGTTCAGGTAGATCACCTGAATTCTTTCAGCTGTCAATGTCTCATGGACTCACCCACCAAATAGCTTGTTCCACTCGCTAAGGGTGGGTGTCGCAAGCCCTCCTAGGTGCTAGACATGGTCATTTTTCTTCTAAAAACCTCAGACCAGGCCGCATCCACTTGTCCCCAACACCAGGCTTTGTTTACACTGAGCCGCCTTGGTGTGGATCACCGGGACAATGCACTCCTCTCCTGCCTGCCTCCTGGGGCGAGGTCTGGTGGGGCTTCAGTCTCAGGAAGACCTTGGTACTCGTGGGAACTTTTTTCCCATGGAGACAGTGAAGACTCTGGGGAAAAAGCTGCTTTAACCTGTCTGGCTCCTCAGCAGACTGCACGATTGGAAATAACCAATTCTGGTGCTCAGGCTGCTCTTTAGCACCCAGGCCAGCCAGAGCACGATTGGCCCAGTGGACACTCCTTCACGGGCAGCTTGGCAGCACAGGACTGTACAACTCTCCTAGGATTAACCTCAGACCCAATCATCCCGGGCCCAGAGCCTGCTGGCTTGGCACACGCTATAGGCTTCTTGTCCTTACATTTCGGAATTGACCAATGGTAAAGACGAGAAGTCTGAGGCAATCTCCCTTTCTATTTTTCTCTACTAAACTGGCTCACCTCAGACAAGGGTGTAACCTTGGTCATACCTGCTCAATAAAAACAACTTAAGGGAGCATGCTCACAATTGCTTTTGGTTCAGGGCAAGCATCTGTGAGAACATAGGGGGCCAATCCTACTATCTTGGGGTGGGGATTTGCATCGCAAATTCCCGTCTACAACAGGGAGTCCATACAAAGGGTCACTTGCCTAGACTATGTACATGTGACTCTTGTCTGAGCCACGCTGGCATCTGCCCCAGGGATCCTTCAGAACTAACCCTTTAAGTGCAGTGCGCTTGCCTTGAAGACCCCTGAGGCAGGCTTTGGCTTCCTCCATTCACACAAATGACCAGCTCATCCCAGGAACTTGCTGTTTCCCAGTGGCTCCTGGGAAAACAAGGGCCTCAATACTCCGGGAGCCCTAACGCTGACTTAGTGAGCCATGTCATCCTTCTCCACCATCAGTGGATATGACCGCATTCTTCCCCTCTGGGCTGCGTACAGACTTCCCAGAAACCCTCCTGTGGGAGAGAAGCCAGACTTCCTCCGCGCAAGCTTCGTGGCGGAATTAATTTCCACAAGGTTTTTCTTTCTCAGCCTCATTTCTCCTGGTATGCTAATCCCTTCTGCACTGGGTACAGTTTGTGAAGTTGTTAAGCCCTTTAATGTTGGCAAACTTTAATGAGCACATAAATAGCAATGAACACATCATACTGGTACAGAGTGTTCTTTAATCCTTTGTTTACGCCTATAGACTACTGTAAGATTACTAATTTTGATGTACATTGAAGCTGCTGCCTCTTACTTGCGACAATGAATTGTATCTTTGTAGATAGGTGAGAAACCAATAGTCTGTTGGTTTTATAGCCACAAGAGTAGAGCTTGAGTACATACACACAAATACAATTTAATCATTTTGCCAGGTTTAACAACTCTGTGTAAATAGGAACCAATGTAGGTAAAGACTTGCAAAATAATGGGTTTAGGCAGGATGGGAAAGTAGGTGCTTATGAAATCTTAAAAGATGTGGGAAGACACATCCCTGTGTACTTCACCTTCCCATGTGATAGTGAGTCTGCCACGGGGCAAGAGAGCACGTCTTAAGAAGGTTCTGGGTACTGATTGCCCTATACCTGCGCTGTTCAGCACAGCAGCTACTAGCCACACGTAGCTAGTCAAATGAAATAAAATTGAAAATTTCTCAGTCACCCTAATCACATTAAAAGTGCTCAGCCACATGTGGCTAGTGGCTACTACTGCACAGTGAATGTTACATTAGATGACTAAATGCCAACTCTGTCTGAGTTAAGGCATCAGTGCTTTGGAGGGGTAGGGGCAGAGATGTAAATTCTGGGGAAGAAATTTTGTCTTATTGATAGTTTTTGGTGAGTGCTGTAAACAGTTAAACATTTCATGTGTTTTCCTAATTTGCTTTAAGTCCTTTGTGTCTCAGGTCAGTTCTGAAACTTTTATCTCACTACTCCCCGATTTTTGGTGGGGGGCAGGAAGGGGAGAGGGAGCACAATGGAGAATATATATTCAGATTGAAAGGCTTGAAAGGAATTACTTGCTCCATTTAAAGCGTTTTTGCTAAATACAGAGTATCGCATTCACACATACCCTGTTCCTTGGTACCACCGCTAACGAAAGAGCAATCTTTACGGTCATTATCATAGGAAGCAGGGATGTAGAGGCCTCTGTTAACCAAACCCCTCCGAGCTCAGGCAGATTCCTCCTCTCCTACTGGCTATCACTACTCGGTGTGCACGGCTACAAGAGAGCCACTGTAGCCCTTCCAGATTCTCATGTCACAAAGAATCAGGCTTTTACTGGAGTGGGCGGCCTGGTGGTATGGGAAAATTGAACCTAAGTTCTCATAAAACAGCCTCTTTTCCACTTACTGGCTTTAGTGTAGGACAAGAGCAGGCAAATGTCTAGGCCAGAAAGCTTCATTTTATCTTTTTTTTTGTTTTGATTTTTGTTTTTCCCCCCCTAGACTGTAGCTACTTGAATGAGGCAAAGGGCACTACTATTAGTGGAAAAGAGACACTCCTTCAGCACGTTTTCACTGGTGTGATGGTGCTGTTGGACATGCTTTTTCCTCCCGTGTGTTATGCCAGGAAACCCATTACCAGGGTGTCTGATGCTGCAGTCAGAGCCCCCAAGGGCCTATGCTAGAACCTCATGGCTGTCACAGGATCCTCAGTCCGAGTCCAGGTCACGAGGGCTGTCATAGCCAAACTCCTTCTGCACATCCAAAGGGTATTTGCTCCCCTCCTGTGGTCTGCTATCGTCTCTTTCCTCTTCACTGAGGCTGTGGTATTCATCAGAGCCTGGAATGAGATAACAGGAATGGACTCCACCTGCATGACTTTTTGGGGCGACTTAGTGGGCTCCTTCCCGTCTCAAAAAGGTCCGGGTTTTTTAAAATAAATTTTTATTGATTTTTAGAGATGGGGAAGGGAAAAGGATAGAGAGATAGTAACATCGATGAGAGAGGAAGTCATTGACTGGCTGCCTCCTGAACAGCCACCACTGGGGATTGAGCCCGCAACCCAGGCATGTACTCTGGGAGTCAAACCAGAGACCTCTTGGTTCCTGAGTCAATGCTCAACTGCTGAGCTAAACCAACTGGGCTAGTTTTGTTTGGTTGGTTGTTTTTATCTTGGTTCACTACTTAAAAATACTTGTTCAATGAAGAGAATTCAGGGGAGCAATTTGAAAAGATCTCATACCTACCGTTTAAACCAAGTCTTTTAACATTGGAATATTTTGTCACTTCTCCCCTAAGTATAGATTTTAAAAAATATATATATAATAGTTGTAGTCATATTGTAAATATAATGTTGAACCTTGCCCCTTTGAATATATTATGGACACTTTCCCAACAGAATATTCTTTTTTTTTTTTTTTTTTTAAATATATATTTTATTGATTTTGTACAGAGAGGAAGGCAGAGAGATAGAAGGTTAGAAACATCGATGAGAGAGAGTCATCGATCAGCTGCCTCTTGCACACCCCCTACTGGGGATGTGCCCGCAACCAAGGTACATGCCCTTGACCGGAATCGAACCCGGGACCCTTCAGTCCCCAAGCCGCTCTATCCATTGAGCCAAACCGGTCTCGGCTCCCAACAGAATATTCTATAGTTTGATCTAATTGTTCCTCCATTAGCAGACACAAAGAAATTCTTTTTGTTGGCACTTAAAACTTCTCCAATACTTTGTTAGACCGAAGCAGGGAAAGAGACACTGAGCTAAGTGTTTCACTTAATCTCAACCAGTTGGTGCAATATTCTCATTTTCCGGAGGGAAAATGAGGCTCAGTAAAATGAAGTTACTTGCCCAAGATACACAGCTAGGCAATGACAGAAATAAGGATTTGAACCCACATCTGTCTGATATTACACTCTAGTAACCACCCCCTGGAAACACTGGTCTGTGGGTCTCCTATTGCTCAACAGCTTATGATTGAGCTGCAGAAGCTCAATGGAGAAGGAAAGCTAGCTAGGATGGATCTGTCTTCTGTACGCATCTCAGTCTTAGATCCCAGCAGTCCCTCAACATCCAAGGCTGTCACCCACTTACCTCTGGAGTCATCACCGTCATTGCTCTCCTCCTCTGGGTACTCATTGCGCCAATTATTCTCACTATTCTCATCATCTTCATCTTCATAAATGTCCTCTAGTTGTTGTTCATCATTCACCTGCATATCTCAACACACATGAATATAAGTCAAAACATCTAAGGTTATGCTCTGGGCGAAACTATCATCAGACTAACTTGGAGAGGGTACACTTAGGCTACAAGTGGGAGATAAAGACCCTATTTAACAAGGATCACATTGCTGGTGGGATAGATTAAACTCCACTAAAAAGGAACACCCCAAATGGGGAGAAACAGCTCTGAGCAGGTGATGGTAATGACCTTTAAACTGGCAGAGGGATTATATGGATCATGGATGATGCCAAATCTCAGAACCAAAACCCAAGTTTGAGGGTGCAGGATGGCAAAAGGAGGGCCTATGCATGGTGCAAGGTGGGGGCCTGATTCAGATTACGGTGGTAAAGTAGGTATGGAGTAGCGTGCTTTTCTCATAAAAGTGTGACAAGTACCACTTAACTTCTTAAATGTTTTTATTGATTTTAGAGAGCAAAGGTGGGAGGGGGAGGGGGAGAGAGAGAGAAAGAGAGAGGGAGGGAGACAGACAGACGCATTGATTGGTTGCCTCCCATATGCATCCCAACCGGGGATGAACTCATAACCTTGGTATGTGCCCTGACCACCTGACCAGGAATCGAACTGGTGACCTTTTGGTGCACAGGATGATGCTCAACCAACTGAGCCACATTGGCCAAGCACTCATTAATCATTTTAGAATTTGTTTTAAGAATAATGATTGTCAGGAAATTAGTAGTTTTTTTGTTTTTTTAAATGAAAGTTAGCTTTCTTAATCCATGATTTTCTGCAAAATAAGATACAATTAAAAAGGTTTTGTTCTTGTTTTAAAATTCCTGGTTTTATTTTGTCTGTATTTTATTATAAGCTCTCACACATTTCCCCTGAGAATGGGTAGATATAAAAAATAAAGATGCTGCCCAGCTGATGTGGCTCAGTAGTTGAACACTGGCCCATGAAACAAGAGGTCACTGGTTAGATTCCCAGTCAAGGCACATGCTAATTTGGGGGCATGCAGAAGATAGCTGGTCCATATTTCTCTCTCATTGATATTTCTAGCTCTCCCTCTCCCTCTAAAACCCAATAAAAACATTAAAAACAACAAAGATGTTGCAAACCTTATAAAAGAATCATTAAGAGCAACGACTATAAATATAGGCTCTCCCAAAATTCCCTGCATTAAAGCCAGGTTCCTAGAAGGCATTTAGAAAAAATTTTTCCTTTTAAGTAAGAACAAGAACTAAGAACCATGTTAATGAGGATTAAATTCCAGGGAGGCAAAGTACCCTGACCAGAGAATCACTTAGGTTGCCTCATGCCCCTCATCCCCATAGGTCCCCTTACCAGCTCCCACTCCTTGCTGTAGGGCTTCACAGAGATGATATTCTCAATCCATCCTGGAGTGGCCGTCTCCAAGTAGTAAATGTCATACACATAGTCATCCTTCTGTTCCTTCTGCTGCCCGGCACTTGGTCCATCCTCCGATATAGTCAACCGCTCACGGATCATCTCTACAGAATTACAAAGTATCACATCTGGGTCAGCTACCTGTGAAGAAAACAGCAGATAAAATGCATGAGATTAAACATGGATGTTCAAAGAAAAGGAACCTATGAGTTGGATGAAGGAAGCCTCCCTACAGTTCTCAGTTAAGATTGAGCAGTCTTATCCCCACGGCCTATTTCATTAGCTATGAGATTAAAAAACTAGCTATTTCTCAAAAAAGTGATGCGTAGTTCTTTTGAGATAGAAACTTACAAGACAGATTCCTCTTTTGTGCTCGGCTGATGCAAGAGCAGTGTGAAGACCTGCATGTGAAGCCTGGCCTGAGGAGAGGCGAGGGCCAGCAGAGCTTTGAGTCTTCCCCTAGGTCTTCCTGAGCTCCTTTGGTATGATGTTCTCCCTTTGAGGATCTGCAGGCCCACAGTAGCACCTCCACAGCTGGCTCATCAGAGGGTCTGCATTTTGTGTGGCCTTCGACAGGGAACCTAAGGACGATTCCTGGGCTATGATGACTACGATCAGCCATCACCCACCACACTGCCCACACTGACATCCTGCTTTTAATCACAACCAGGAATGGATTCCCCTATAATCCTTTTCTTGCTAGAAAAAATAGCTTCAAGATAGATGGACCCAGATTGGAACTGGCCAAGGTAAGATACACTCTAGCTTCAACAGGCAGTTTGTATAGTCAATTTCTCAGACGTAATTTTAGTCTCTATGTACAACACTGCAATGAATGTGAATTTTCCTACATTTGAAAATGGAGATTAAAGAACCTGGGGTTTTTGTGAGGATTAAATGAGTTAAATACAAACAGCTTTTGTTAATACCACAGCTTGTTTGCTTCTGCTGAATTATTTCCCCAGAATAAATCCCGGGGATGAAATTACTAGATAAAATGAACCAAACTGTTTCACCTTTTCAGATATCCTATTAAGTAGTATCTTATGCCCTAAGCAGTTTGGCTCAATGGATAGAGCGTCGGCCTGCAGACTTGAGTTCCAGGTTCAATTCCGGTCAAGGGCATGTACCTTGGTTGCGGGCACATACCCAGTAGGGAGTGGGCAGGAGGCAGCTGATCGATGTTTCTAATTCTCTATCCCCCTTCCTCTCTGTAAAAAAGTCAATAAAATATATATATATTTTAAAAAGTAGTATGTTATTTGCTTAAAACTTAAACTTCTAGAATTTTGGGTGGCTTTAGAGTCCAAACAATAAAAATAAATTTAAATAGTTTTAAAATAGGCCCTAAGCTATTGTTAGCCATGCTGTTTTCCAAAGACTGGCATCAATTTTAAGTACTATAGCCATGTACTATTTTAATCACAGCATTGCCAGCAGTGCTGTAGACAACCTTTCTTCTGCTAGTTTTAGTAGGCATAAAAACCTCGATTTTACTTTCAGCTTAAATTCTTATTTAAAAAAAATTTTTTTTTGTAAAATAAGGAGAGGGAAAGAGGAGGGAGACAGAAACATCAGTGATGAGAGAGAATCACTGATCAGTTGCTTCCTGCACACCCCATACTGGGGACTGAGCCCACAAACCAGACATGTGCTTTGACCAGGAATTGAACTGTGACCTCCCTAGTTCGTAGGCTGACACAACCACTGAGCCACACTGGCCCAGATAAATTCATGTTTTAAAAATAGCTGCAAATATTTTTGCTATGTTTATAAGTTTGTATTGCGTTGGGTTGGGAAAATTTGTGTTTACAACCTTCAGTTTACTAGTTTTTCTTATACAATTGAGCTATTTAACCGATCCCACCGAACATTAGTATACTTTTAAACATTATTTGTTTAACTCATGAATCAGTCTTGAATTAGTTTTGGTAAAAGATGTGGCTATCAATATCACGCTCAAGTTGCTATCTAGGTATACGAGCACCATGATTAAATATGTTTTGCCTGATGTATTTTGAATTAAAATTTCATTTTTTATACTTAAAGAACCATTAAAGGGAGTGAAAAAATTAACACCATATTCAGGATGAAAAGGCAATGGGTCTTGGAAGTACCTTACAGGGTCCAGTAGATCCTTCCCCCAGATTCCTTATTACTATTCTCTCCAAGTTCACTGGGCTCCAGGCACAATGACTTTGAAAACATCAGACAAACTTGCTATGAAAGTCTTTGTGCTTGTAAATCCTCAGCCTGGAATGCCCCTCCCCAAGATATCCACAATGCCCTGCCATTCACCTTTAAGTCTTCACTCAAATGTCACTTTTCCCCCCAGTGTGACCTCTGAAATGGAACCACTCTTTTCCTGCGCACCCCCACCCCCTTCCCTCTCTCTTACAGCCCACATCACTATCTGACAGTGAATTTACTTGTTTTTCTCCATCTGAATGTTAGGTTCACTGCTATACCCACAGAACCTCAGAACAATGCTTGTCACATAGTGGGCGCTCAGTAAATACTTGTTGAAGAGAGAACCTAATCTGTAAAATCGAGGCTATCAAGCTGGAGGGATGGTCTATTAATAAAAGGTAAAGCCATGTGCATCTCAACTATGTGCAGACTCTGCGCCCAGATTCCTGGCACCCCTTGTCGGGAGAAGCCCAGCTCTCCTCCGCGGAGCGTGTACTCACTTTGTAGGAGTCGGCGGCGGCAGCAGAGGCCTCTGGGTCTCCTTCTTCGTGGACCAGATCCAACAGCTGGAAGCGTGCTTCACCGTCGGCTTCTGGGTTTCCCAGCACGTCCTCCGGCTCCAGGTCATCCAAAGGAATGTCCACGGATCGGCGGCTACAGACTACCCTGTAGCGACCCTCCTGCTGGATCTTCCGAGTAGACGCGCGGATGTCGTGGCGGATACGCTGATGGGTGCCCCAGGGTGGGGGCAGAGCGACCCGCAGGAAGGGATGGACCGGCTCCTCCTGGAGGGCAATAGGGATGGGGAACCGGCGTAAGCAGGGGTTCGTGTAGGGGTCAGGGATACAAAATTCCATCCCGGCTGCACCCTCAGGGCCCCTCCACTCACGCTCCATCCCCGCCCGATACCTGGGAGCACACGGTAGCCACCAACTGGAAGATGTTCTTCTCTGGTGCTTTCTCCAGAACCTCAGGGGGCGTGTTTTGGGCCTCCGACTCCACGGCATCGCTCCGGAGGCGTTTACAAGCGAGGACCAGAGCCTCGGCAGGCTCCTCGCCGCGTTTCCGCTTCACGCGGAGTACAGCCGTACGACGACGAGCCTCCATAGCGGCTGCCGCGAAGCAGTATGGGAACAACGCGTAGGGTGCGACCGGAAAGACTTTCGGTTCTACTTCCGGGTCCCGCCCCCGGCACGCTCAGTTGTCGTAGGAAGTTCCGCCCCCCTCGCGCCGGCCGCGGGAGCGTGGCGGTGGCGGCGGCGGAAGTGAACGAGCGGCACGCACGGCCGGTGAGGCGCTGAGCATGTTGGGTAGGTGGGTCGCCTCGGAATCTGGGATGCAGCCCGCGCGTCCTCTCCCCTGCGGCGGGGCCTGGCGTGGGCAGAGAAAGGTTCTCGGACGGCGCGGTACGCAGTTCTGCGGGACCTGCGAGAACCTTTCTGTAGAGTCCGTGTGGGGCGGCTCAGAGCGCCCGGGCCTGCGGAAGAACGGGGTGTCAGGCGGGCCCTGGCCTCTCTGCCGTCCTCTCTGGTGATGGCCGTTTGCTGGGCCCTTAGGGGAAGAAGCATCTCTGCGATGAGCTGGTTGACCGGACGTACCTGGAATCTTCCCCTCAGCGACGGAGCGTGGCGTGGTGGTTGCCAGTCCCTCCTTGGAAACGTCCACATTCGTTGACAGCTCTTGGGGAATGAGGAGGGGGCCAGGCTATCTCCTGAGTCTGGAGTGTGGTCTTTTGGGAGAGGGACACGCCGTAATAACAGGTGAAGAAATTTATCCGGAGAAGGTGTACGTGGAGAGGTTATAGGACGTGGTTCCCTACTTAAGTACTCATTTTAGGTGAATAGGAAACCAGTGACTTCCCCACAGTTTTGAAAAGACTCTGTGATCCCCCAGTCGTAGCCTCAGCAACATCACAGACAGAAAGGGAGGGACTGCCACAGGATAAGGGTTTCTAGACCCTCCACAATGTGGACCCCCCAACCTGTGTGACTCTCTGCTCAGTTTCACTTCAGTAGGACTGATTGGTCCACTGTGCATGACAGTTTTAAGCTTCCTAAGGTGGTGAAGTGCCTTCTCCCCACGCCCACCTAAGTCCTACCCATCTTTGTGTGTGTGTGTGTGTAAATTCTCATAGGAGGATATTTTCCCATTGATTTTTTTTTTTTTAGAGAGACTGGGAGAGAGAAATGGAGGGAGAGGGGAGAGAGTGGGTGGGGAGAGAAGAAGGGGAGAGAGGCGATACTTGGATTGGTCATCTTTCGCTGGGCCCTGCTGGATTGGTTTGAACCTAAAACTGAGTTATGTGCCCTTGTCTGGGAATTGAACCTACAGCGACACTGCTCTCCGCAGGCCAACACTCTAACCACTACGCCAAACCTGCCAGGGCCCTACCTATCTTTTAAGCCTTTCCTGAACATTCACTGAAATGTGGTAAAATGTCCAAAAGCATGTGTTGGACTCAGTTTTCTAAAGCACATTACAGACTCTGGTAGTTGTAGACACTGTCTTTTTAAAAGAATAGCACGTGAGATGTACAGAGCTGGTTATCACAGTAGTTTGCAAACTAGGTTGCAAACCATTGCTGAGTTATGAAGTCAGCTCAGTGGATCATGGTTTATTAAAAAATAAAACGAAAACAGGATAAAATATATGAGGGCCTTGCTCATAGCAAGACTATGTATCGTTTTGTGAAACTGTTATGTTTGTGTTTGTATTGTGTCTCTGTGTAAAATATATTACTTACTGGGGTTGTCAAGAAGTTTGAGAGCACCTGGATTAGAAAGTAGGTATTCTTTCTGGGGTTTTAGAAGTAGAGTTTTGCTGAAAGACAGATTGGCTACTTTGAACCAAACTAGTGATCACCTGAGTCTTCAGAACCAAGCTAGCGATCACCTGTTTCCCATCCTCTTGTATAAGAATTCAGTATTTACTTAGTTTTTGATAATTTCAAGAAAAAGCCAATAACTCTGGCCAATAAAATGTCTGAGAGGACTTCCTTCACCAAAAATAATCAGGTTTCCTGAAGATGGATCAGTGTTTAACAAGAATGGAGGGGAATGTGGAACACTTGCTGTTTCTGAATGTAAGAGGGAGGGGACGTTGGGAGAGCCCATTCCTGCTGAGAAGTGCCTTCACACTTAGAGCTGTGGTGTTCCTGTCTCTCAGAAATAAATATCTTTGAGTGAAAAGGCCATACAAGACATTTTGTTTGGTAACATTTTTTTTTTGAAACATTTTTTTTCTAAATATATTTTATTGATTTTTTACAGAGAGGAAGAGAGAGGGATAGAGAGTTAGAAACATTGATGAGAGAGAGAATCATTGATTAGCTGCCTCTTGCACCTCCCCTACTGGGGATGTGCCCACAACCAAAGTACATGTCCTTGACTGCAATAGAATCTGGACCCTTCAGTCCACGGGCTGACACTCTATCCACTGAGCCAACCAGTTTCGGCTTGAAACATTTTTAAAAAAAATATATTTTATTGATTTTGTACAGAGAGGAAGGGAGAGAGATAGAGAGTTAGAAACATCGATGAGAGAGAGTCATCGATCAGCTGCCTCTTGCACACCTCCTACTGGGGATATGCCCGCAACCAAGATACATGCCCTTGACCTGAATCGAACCTGGGATCTTTCAATCCCCAAGCCGACGCTCTATCCATTGAGCCAAACCGGTTTCGGCTTGAAACATTTTTTCAATGAAAGGTTTTTCAAAATTGCTTTTAAAATTAAATACTGAGTAGATAAGAAGTAATTATGATAAATAGTGAGGCATGGAGAATGACAGTGTCATGAGCACCTGTATTCCCACCAACCAGTTTTAGAAAAAATATCATTGCTCTTTAAGTCCCCTGTGTGGTCCTTCTTTATTTTATTTTTTATTTTTATTGATTTCAGAGAGGGAGGGAGAATGAGAGAGAGAGAAAAACATCAATGATGAGAGAGAATTATTGATTGGCTGCTTCCTGCATGCCCCCACTGGGGACTGAGCCTGTAACCTGGACATGTGCCCTGACTGGGAATCCAACTGTGACCTCGTGGTACATAGGTTGACCCTCAACCATTCAGCCACACCTGCTGGGCTGTGTGACCTCTTGAATCCCATCTTTTTTCCTTTCCACTATCCTATTTCCTGCTATGCACTTTAATGTGATCTTTAAAGAATGTGTTGTTCTGTTTTGCATAATTATACATCCTATATAATAAAAGCCTAATATGCTAAGTGTTCTGTTGTCAGGTCGCCTGTTCAACCAAAGTGTAAATGCTAAGATATGCTAAGGCTGCGCAATCCCTCGCTATGATGTGCACTGACCATCAGGGGGCAGACGCTCCAACTAGTAGTTTAGCTTGCTGCTGGGGACTGAGCCAGATGGGCCAGACATGCCCTGGAGCCCTCTCGCAGTCCCTCCCCGGCAGGCCAACCTCCTGTGTCCCTTCCTGCACTGGATGGGGTCCCTCGGCCTGGCCTGCACTATCTCACAATCCAGGACTCTTCAGGGAATGTCTTAGAGCCAGTTTTGGCCCGATCCTGCAGGCCAGGCGGAGGGACCCCACTGGTGCATGAATTCGTGCACTGGGCCTCCATCTTTATGTAAATGTGAACTTATTATATGTATTCTGTGACTTGCTTTTTTTTTTTTTTTTTTTTTTAAATGACTGAACATTATATTCCTGGGATTATCCATGTTTGTGTATAGCTGTGACTTTCCTAATTTGTTTGAATTGTTCTATTTTTGTATTTTAACTTAAACTAACTGTCTAATATCCTTAGATAGTTTTAGTGGCACTTCTTTACTACTACCCCAATCTCTATTTGTTCTTTCCTACTAGCCCTTTCCTCTGCTTTATTTCCTTTCTCACCTACCTTTACCTGAGGCTATGCCCAGGTGTACCTTTGAGGCTCATTTGACCCTGTTGGAATCACTGAGGACTGCTCAAGTTTCCTGATAGTTTAATGAACTTATGTATTATAGTTTTTAATGTTATATGGGGAATAAAACCAAGTAAGTCTTTCTGGAAATATGAGAATTCTGATTAACAAATATTTTCAGTGGTTTTGACATTTTTGTCAATTTCTTGACCACCCTCCCCCCTTTGTTTTCTTGTCTTTTAACTTTTTTTTTTTTTTTTTTTTCATTTTTGGTCATTATAATGTGAATAGGTTTCTGACCGTGTGACCTGTCCATAAGAAGTAAGCTGGCGAGTGATAAAATTGAGGAGCTGACTGGCAGCATGAAGATCTTCTGTGGGCGGGCTAATCCGACCACAGGATCTGTGGAGTGGCTGGAGGAAGATGAGCACTATGATTACCACCAGGAGATTGCCAGGTAACAAGCATTTGTTCACAGTTGGCTGCAGCTGGCTGGGGCACTTGATCTCAGAGCAGATGCCTTGAAATTTAGTCTGAGTGAGCATTAGGGTATTACCCAGTGCTTCTGGGCAGGTATAGGTCCCAAGCAGGTGTGCTCAGCCAAGTAGGTTTGTGTGGGAGTCAGTATGAGTCATGCCTGTGTGGGAAGTCATCGGATCTGTCTAGTGGAGCAGAGAAGACGCAAGGTTCAGTAGTAGTAGAGTTTACGAAAGTTAATTATTTACTGTGTCACTTAAATGGTCCCTGAAAAATTAAAAATTGCTTTTTTTTTTCTTTGAAGGGATATTTAAAAGTATGTGAGTTACTGTTATTTAGCAATCATGAAGTGCATACAACATGACAACACAGTGCTAGGGCAGTGAGAAGAAAGGGTTCCCATCCTTAAGGAACAGGAAGTTTTGTGGAAGAGACAGACATAAAAAAATGATGGTGCAGAGAGGTAAAGGCCAGTGGAAATGGGTAATTGTTACAGTCGAAGTATAGATAATCAACTCTCTTCCCTTTAACACTCTATAGTTTGGTAAACTCTTAGTTTTTCCTGATGGCATGAAGGAAAATGCTGAATATACAGCAGATAGTATACTTTGCCTTTCCCCAATTCCTCTTCCTAGTGATTATCCCAATGTAGAAATGATGCGAGATTATGTAAAGTATTAGACAAACTCAGCCTAAGTTAGTCTAAGGAAAAAATGTGTATGGGGGTGGGTTATAAGGGGCCAGTGTGTGTGTGTGG